CCGCGTGGCCGCCGGGCTGTGACTCAGTGGCCAGGCCCAGCCTGGTGCAGAGGCAGCGTCACGGCCTCCAAGCCCAGGCCTGCCCGAGCCACCCGGTGCCGGGAGGGGCCCCGCAGCGCTGGGGTGGGGGCCCCGACTCCACAGGGAGCCGGTTCTGCTCTGGGCCAAAGGCGGCCCGGCCCTTGCTCGCGGCCTCAGCCGAGACCTCCAAGGGCACCCGGCTGGCCGGCAGTCGGGGGCTCTGGACAGGTCAGCACTCCCCCAGGCACGCCGGGACTGGGCCACCCGACCCCAGCTCGCTGCCTATTGCACGGCCCTCCCTGTCCAGAGGGACCCTGGATGCCCCACCCACTCCCAGCTTCTGTGGACCCCGAGTCTCCACGGTCCCCCAAAGTCTGCGGCCTGGCACTGAGGCTGGGGGCCCAGACAGAGCGCCTTGGTCAGGAAACAGGGTCCAAGCACGTGTGTGAGAAGGCCGCTGAGGGCGGGGCCGGCCCCACCGAGAGGCTGTGGCTGGGGTGCAGGCCCCTGCTTGCCGAGTGACCCCAGCTGGGGGTCACTGAGTCAGAGGCTGGCCGAGCAGAGCAAGGCCGTGCCCAGGGGGCAGCTGGGGCAGGCCCGAGGGGGCACCGTGTGTTGGGAAGAGGCACAGGGCCTGCCCCGCCTGGGGAGGGGCCTGCTGCCCTGGGCCTCCCTGGACCGAAGGGCCGGGCCTCTGTGGAGGGGGCACCAGACCGCACAGGCGCACGCCAGGTGGCCACGGGACGGGGGCTGCGGGCTGGGAGATGCCGGCCCTCGGGCGTCAGCCTGGGGCTGCAGCCTGGACAGCGGGCGCCTGCAGCGGGCCGGGCCGTGGGGGCCCTAGGGGGGTGCGCTGCACAGGGTGGCTGAGCACCCCAAGGGCGGGGCAGTAGCTCCAGGGCTGCCGGAAGCCTGGTGGGGGCCGCTGGCCAGGCCGGCCGGCCGTGCGGACCCCCGTGGTGGTGTGGCCCCGGCACGGAGGCAGGAGCCCGGCCCAGGACGGGGCTAGGGTGGTCGGCCGGCGCCTGGTGTCCACTCAGCCCGGGAGGCGGCGCCCGGGCGGCGCTGACCCCGCCCGAGGGCCTGTCTCTGGAGCCGGTGTCCAGGAGGCCCCCTCTCGGAAAGGGCAGCCTCGGCACACCCGACCTCCGGCTGGAGCGGGGTCCTCGCCGCTCTTCTGGGAGCCCGGGCGTGCAGTGCCAGGGCGCTGGGCGCAAAGGATGGCTCACGGTGGTGGCCCGGGGCTCTCTGGGCTCTGGGGTGACCGCCTGGCGGCTCACCGGTGTCCCCAAGGGGAGGCGGGGGCTCGGGGTCCCCCGGCCGGCCCCGCCCACCTCACCTGGACATAACTTCGACAGAAAGGAAGAGCTCAAGCCAGTGCAGGTGAGACGCGAGTTTATTACTCCTGGCCACAGAGCGGGCGCCGCCCCCGCCGCCCAGAGGGGCAGCTCGGCTGTGTCCAGGGCCGCCGG